CAACTAGGTCAGTGGTCTCCACCCTGCAGTCTGTGTAGCCTGGGGTAGAGATGTAAAGATGCATATCACCAGCATACTGAGACACTAAACCCTGTGTTGATCGATAACCCCAACCATTTGCTTCATGTAAATGTTAAATAGGAATGAACAGAAAGTGGAATCTTAGGTTGGGGGGGAGGACCTTGGAGGTGTTCTAGTCCAGCCTCTTGCCCAGAGCAGGAATTACCAGACTGTCCCATTCAATGTAATGACATCAAATTTGCTTCTGATAAGGAGGTGACAGTTTCATTGACATTCATACTGAAGGAGTGTGCCTTATTTAGCTATGGTGTAGCTGAGGGATATATGTAAATATCCAGTTTTAGGGTATGCAATTATCTCTCCAATGGCCTCCTGTCTTCCTTGTGTCCTTCCTTCACTTAAATATCAGAAGAAGACATCATAAGGAAATGTTTTACAACTAGGAATTGCGAACAGCTGCACAGACTTCAGCATGATGAAAAACTGTGCAACAGAGAGCAACGGTGCCTGCATTAGCTCCCTCTACTGCCTCCAACAATAAAATAAGCTCCAAAACAGCGTTAAGAGAAATTAAACATTAACCCTCGGGACTCTGAGAATACAATAGAAAAATAAAGGCCTCTTTCTAAGGGAAGAAAACAAGTGAAGAACCTCAGGTCAAATTTCAGGATAGTTTTAGCTGAAATATCAAATATTGCAGATGCCTTTTTCTCCATAGCTCTCAGATGGCAGCTGGCATGGATATATGCAAGGGAACAGAGAATCTCTGGCTTTCAGATGAAATAAGTTTTGCTTTCAATCTAATAATGCCTGTTTCTTCATATGTTCTTTTAACAAGATAATCCCTTTATGTCAGGCAACATAATGAAATACATTAAACTATAAACTCTTGGCGCCTCAGAATACCCTTTCTATGACAGTAAATGTGCAACTACCAAGTGGCATCAAGTAAATATACAGGTCGTCCATTTGTTACATCCATTTGTTCAGAGACTGACCAAAGTTAGAGTGGCACTGAAAAAACAGACTTATGACCGGTCCTCAAACTTCCAGCCATCACAGCACCCCTGTGGTCACGTGACTGAGATCTGGGCACTTGGGTGCTCAGTTTGCAATTTCGACATTCAGTAAGCTGAAGTCATGTGATCACCATTTGCAACCTTCCCTGCTGGCTTACCACAAGCAAAGTCAATTGGGAAGCTGGCAGGGAAGGTCACAAGTCACTCTAGTAACTTGCTCCTGCTGCTTTTCTTCCCAAGGAGCCCACTATGGAGTATGAGATACTACCCTGCCTGCTCTCCCACTCTCCGTAGCCCACACCTGCAGCAGCACCCCTGTCCACCTATGGTCTCCACTGGCCCTCCCAAGGCTTCCGCAACCCACCCACAGCCTCCACCCCCCCAGACCTCCCCCAACCTGTGTGCAGCCTCTGCTGCCCCACCCATGCTCTGTAGTACCTACCTATGGCACCCACTGCCTTACCCCACAGCACCTCCACACTTCTTACCTGGGACTCCTGCTTCTTTCTGCTTAATGACTCACATGGTTGTGGGGTTGCGACGGCAATCAGGACTGTCAAGATTGTAAGGTTTGCCCCATTCCACAGAGAAACTCCCGTGACACGTGTGGTTCACAAAAAAGGTTTACTCATGCTTAACGTAGCAGTCACAGGCAAAGCCAGGACTGGCTTGGCACATTTACATTGCTCCTTTATAGTTGTCTCAATCCCCCCGCAGGCCCCGTTGCTAGGTTACATATTAAAGATTAAATTGCAAAGTGCCCCCAGTAATCCCCCCCCCCCTTCTACTGGAATGGCAGGTTCAGCCCAGTTCTCTTGTTGCTTTCATTGTTGTTGCCTGTGGCGTGGTCGTTGCCTTCGTTGGGGCTTCTGTCGTGCGCACAGCCAGGAGCTCCCCCTCGCGCACTGATCTCTT